TGCACCTAATCCATAATAAAGTTATAAGAGAAAAATGTTAGAACATTGCAGCTGTGTTGTTGTTATCCTTGAACACCTCTGCAACGCCACAACCTGTGTCACTGAGGCCTGTGCTCTTTTTAATCCAGCCTCACACAGCTCCTGTTTCCTCCTCGTGTCCTTACAGCACAATGTTATGAGTAATCGTTTTGTACCATCTCCAGAATACTGTTTATACTACAGCCACGAGTTTGCATCAGAATACTCCCCTTGTCATGTATTCCTGGTGCTATAATAATAAAGTAATCAATATAAAATGAAGTATTTATGATGATTCAATTTGTTTGATCCACTCTGTGCAGACACAAAGTTTATTAAATGTTTAAACTTTAGAGATACAATAATGTTGCTGCTGTAAAATCAGCATTTTGTCCAATTTGAAATATTTATAAAGCACCAAATCACCATTTTACACGACTTATTTTTAACACTTTACATGAGCGTATTTTTAAATTCTAATAGTTTCAGTGGGTGCACAAAATAAACAGTCAGGAACAACTAGTGAGCCCTTCGTGGGCTGACTAGTGGTGGCTAAACGAGAACGAAGACTCCCAAATCCCGTCACTGTTGGCTTCTCTGCTGAAGGTCCTGGATCCAGGAGCAGAGCTGAACAGGCCCAGGGGGGAGTGAAGGGCGTTCAGAGTTTATCTTTTCTCCAAAAAATGACATTTTACACATTTCTACATAAAAATATGAACATTTGTCGATTTAAAAAGTGCAGAACGGCGCCGGTGCCTGTTTTAAAGTGTGTGACTTGTAATGCATCAGCGATGGTTCGCTCAGCTGTTGTTTCCAAAACTGTGCGCGTCGCTGTTTCAGGACCTGAGCGGGCCTCGCCGTGCAGACAAACACCGATGAGCCGCTTAATCTCCGGGGCCGGCGCTCTGTGTGCGAGACTTGATTTCCCAGCACTTCTGTTTGTGCTCGCAGAGCCGCCGCGCCCGTGTGCGCTCGGGCACAAAGAGGCTTCGTGTCTGTGGATCTGCGGCTCTTTGTCTGCACCGGGTTTCAGCAGAGTCGGCGCGTCACCTGAAACATCAGCGTGCTGAGTCCTCAGATCATCCGTGAGCAGTTTTGCACTGAGCCTGGCTCTGCTCAATTATTCAGATCATGACATCACCCAGGAAACTGTAGGGACCGCCCTCCTCCACCTACCTGTGCCTGTCCGTGAGGGGGAGGAGCTCCTCGCACCTCCGCGGACTTTGATTTCTGTCATGAACATTTTTAAAGACGTGCCTTTGCATCTGTGTTTGTTTATAATGAGAGTAAATGTAAACGTGACGTGTTGTTTGTGGGTCTTTGATCGTGTGGAATATTTCTGCTGCTGCAGCTGAACTCCAACACTTTAGTTTTTTCTTTCTATTTGTTTAACGTGGAAACTTTAAACGTGGTCACAGGACGTCTCCGGTTTCTTCATCTATAAAAGCTGAGCGGTTTCCTCTGTTACTGCCTGCAGAAGGTAAATGAATGTAAGAGCTGGTTTTGTTTAGTTTTTGTTACTTTTAAATCATGAGGAGGAGGAGGAGGGTTGTTGGGATAAGTTCTCATGATGAGAACAGGCTGTGAGAGCAGCTGACTCACAGTGATGGAGACACCCAGAGTCTGAGCAAACGGATGATCCAGCTAAGAAAAGACATTCATCTGTTTGTATTTTTGCTTTGTAAGGTCAGAATCTTCTAGTATTTTTAGATATTTCAGGTGTTTTCAACCATTTCAGGTTAAAGTTTAGCCTGGTTATAACAGACGTTACAGTGGAGCAGATTCAGGTCCATCTGCAGGATCCTCCTCCTCTCCAGACGAAGATCCAATCACACCTGAGGAACAAACTGCTGCTCAGGTGACCCAGCACTGGGTGAATCACCGCGTTCAGACTTATCACAGGGTTATTTATTATTAAACAGCATTTTAATTCTGACACTCTCACACAGGGAAAGGTTTCGAGCTCTTTGATGATATTTTTAGGTGAACTGGGAGAATCGTTCTGAATATGGACGCAGACTCCCTGTGACTGTCGTATCTGACCAATAGGAGGTGCTGCAACACAACATCTGTATCTCCAGTAATCAGCAGGCGACCTGTCCAAGGTGTAGACGGAGATGATCTCAGTGATGCATTCAGGGAGCGTTTGAAGGGCGGCTGCAGGAGGTGAAGCCGATTATTCCACGTCCCTCCTGGTTTAAACAGCGTGGGTACTTTCTCTTTTTCTTCTCTCCTGCAAAACAAAACCTGAACCTGAAGGTTAAAATGTGCTGAGACATGAACTTTTAAGGACGTACCTGTGAGTTAAGAAGCTGGGCCTAATGAGCAGGCCTCGGGTAATTGCTGCAGTTATTAAGGAGGCTCAGCTGAGATGGAGTGCCAGAGGCTGCACAGCCTGCAGGTCTAATTGGCAATTAGAGCGACGCAGAGCTCTGCTGGGCTTCTCCTGCAGGTTTAGTTGGGATAAAGTTTAGTTTTTGTTTTGCCAGATTTCCTCTGAGCGTGACGAGCTGCACTTTCCACACCTGGCACCAATTTTCAGCTTTCAGCATCAGTTTCTGATAGAAGTGCAGTGAGTTTACACTGCTAGGACCCATTTAAGCCTCCCCTCTGAGTCAGACTGCAGTGAGCCGATCATTCAGTCTGATATCAGAACGCTTTCTGCGTCCTGATTGGAGGATTTACCTGATGTAATGTGTCACCTGGTTTAAATAGCTCAGATCTTCCTCACATTCAGATTCTGATTATTTAAAAGAATGATGAAGATCTCAGTAACACTTCAGGTTAGTTTGCAAACTCAGTTCAGGAGATATATGATGGTTCAGTTAAAGGAGCAACAGCACAAACATCACAGATTTACTTTGTCACTCGCTGAGAACAGTCGTCGTTTAGGTTTGACAGCATTTCCAGTAGATGATGTCAGATGTTTCCTCCTGCCTGGCAGCTCCATCTTCACCATCCTCCCTCCTCCATCTCAGCCTGTCTGACTCTGAGCTGTCCCTCTGATGGACTCAGAGGGACAGCTCAGTTAGTGGTGGTTGTGCTTTATAAAAATATGAAACATAAATCACCGGAGCCTCTCGGTGCCGTCTTACAGCAGCTCAGCTTTCTTTATTGTGTGTTTCAGGTTTGCTAATCTCAGATTATTTAACCTTCTTCAGCCTGTATACAGGTGCTGCTGCTCTGCAACCACGTCCACCTCCACCCACCTCCCCTTTAATGCTTTCTGATCTCCTGCTGTTAGTGACGCTCGCTTTGCTCTGAGCGGGGCAGGAAGTGAACCTGGAAAATATGAATAAGTGGAAATGGAATAAAAAGACTATTTAACTTCTACGTCAGCTCTGTCACCAGCTCCTTATGGTGCAGGTGAGAGTTTGATAACCAGTCACAGGGATGATGCTGAGTCTGCTGCAGCTCTGTTAAGTTTATAACAGATAGTTCTGGCCTCTGAACACGGCAGCGCTCCAGCAGCCTCCCACGGTCGTGGCCACACCCCTTTTGGTTTGCTGGATCCACTCCTGCTTCATCAGAAAACCCAGATGATCAGTTTGCAGAGTTTTCTAGTCACCTTTTAAGGACTGAGCACAGATTCTCAATGGGATTAAAGACCGGGGAGTTTCCTGGCCTCGGATGCAAATTGTTAATTTTCTGATCTCAGAGCCGCTTAGTGTTGAGTTTAGCCTCGAGACGCGGCGCTCCATCAGGCTGGAAAATGCACAGACTCCAGAACGCTCCTGGATCTGTGGGAGAGGCTGGTCATCGAGGATGTTTGTGGTGTGGTCAGTGCTTAAAAAGCTGAAACCTGTGATCAGCGTGGAGCTGTGGCATCCCCATCAGTCAGCGGTTGGCTCAGAGGCTGATGTTCAGCATGCAGAGACCTGCAGACGTTCTAAAGAAGAAAGGTCACCACGTCTCAGCTGAATTTTGAACGTTTTTTCTGAGCTGTCTTTAAACATCGATTATCCTTCAATAAATCACAGAAACATGCAAAGAACTCAAACTAAGTTCTGTGAGGAGCAAACGCTGGGTGTGAAGAGTGAATGCAGCTCAAAGCTGTGTGACGTCTCTCTTCTGTTTCACGTTGTATTTTGACATATCTGCATCTTCACACATGTCAGAGGGAATTTGAATAAAGATAATAAAAACCAACACCTGTAATTATTAGACCCGTTTATCCATCAGCATGTTTGGGCTTTTCTGCCCTCTAGTGGCCACAAATAACTAAATGCACCTTTAATTTTGGACCCTGAGGCGTCAAACAAAGCATCGAGCTGCTGCTGCCCTCTTCTTATGTTCGCACAACTTTATTGGCTTTTTTACAAATGAGGCAATTACGAACACGCCACGAGGCTCTGAGCTGCGCCCCCCAGCAGAGGGAGGGAGGCCGGGACAGAAAAGGAAAGGGAGATAAATGGGGGGAGAGCTTTTAATTTGGCGAGCCTCGGTAGAGCTGCAGAAGAGAGGGAGGGGGAGTATAAGAGTATTTAAGAGAAGGGGGTGAGGAGGAGGAGGAGCTTCATCGGACTTTTTTGTCCCACAACAGCAAACACAGCTGAGGAATAAAGAGAGGAAGCAGACTGAAGGGAGGAAGGAAGGGAACGAGGCTGAACCAACAAGCCTGAGTGCGACACACACACACACACACACACACACACACACACACACACACACACACA